TGAGCCACGCTGGCTGGGCTGTTGACATATCTTTGAAACCACTACAGTCCACCCTCTGGCCACAAATTATTTATAATATTCCCATATGCAGAGTGGACCCATCTACTCCCCAAGGGCCCCCAAGAGTTTCATTCCATCACAGGGCCAGCTTCAAGTCCAGAATCTTGCCATCCAAGTCTGGTTCAGGAGAGAAGAGGCTCCTAGGATGCAGGTCCTTAAGATCAGCTCCTGGTGACCTGGGAAACGGAGGGAACAGCTTCTCTGCCCGCTGCCCCCTCAACACACAAAGTGAGACACAGGATAACTGCTCCAGACATTCCGGTTCAGAAAGGGGGGAAACAGGAAGCGTGGAGTCAGTGGTCCATGGCAGTTCTGCAACCCAGTCAGGCAAACTGCGATCCAGTTGCAGGTTCCTTGATTATGTCTCCAAGGCTGGGAATCACTCTCCGTGGTTCCGGACTCCCCGCCCTGAGCCCTTGGTTCTGCCCTCTCCACGAACCTTCCCTTTTCACAAAAGGCAATGTGTGTTGGCTCCATTTTCCTGCCCCGAGTTCATAAAGATTTCTCCTATGTTTTTTTCTAAAAGTCTAATGGCTTTACATTTCACATTTTAGTTTTTGGTCCCTTTGGAGGTAATTTTTGTGTAAAGTGTAAGCTGTAGGTCTTAAATTTTTAAAAATTAAAAAAATTTTTTGCATATAAATATCCAATTGTTCCAGCACTATTTGTTCGTTTTTAGAAACTGTTTATTTTCCATCAACGTCATTTCCATTTTCTGTTTAAGAGCCTGTGGAAGCACTGCTTAAGTGGTTTCCTGCGGCAAGGGATTTGAGGACATCAAGGTCTCTGAACATTGTCAAAGTTTCTTTTTTTTGTTTTGTTAATCTTCACCCGAGGGTATTTTTCCATTTATTTTAGAGATTGTGGAAGGGAACGGGAGAGACATACCGAGAGAAACATCAATGTGAGACAGACACATCGATTGGTTGCCTCCCGCACTCGCCCCAACCAGCGCCAGGAATCAAGCGGGCAGCTGAGGAAAGAGGTACGTGCCCTTGTCTGGAATCAAACCTGGGACCCTTCAGTCCTCGGGCTGATGCTCTATCCACTTAGCAAACTGGCTAGGGTGAAATTTTGTTTTGGGTAAGCCATCCAGTGTGTGGTTTTCTGTTAACAGCAACCCTAACAGATTAAGACAAGTCTTTGCTTAGTTCTTGATTTTCTAGGAAGATGCAAATCCCCCCGTTCTCTTAGATTTTGTTAGGTAGAAATATGACAAGATGAGGGGCAAGCTAGGGCTGGCAGAGTTTTTCTCTCCACCTACCTCTTGCTCCTGACTTACCTCCTACGCCATTTCTGATCCCACACAGATGGCCTATTCATGATCCATTCTGGCTGATATGGTCTGAATATTTGTGTTCCCCTTTCCTGCCCCCCCCCCCCAAATCCATATGTTGAGATCCTAATGTCCAAAGTGATGGTGTTAGGAGGTAGGGCCTTTGGTAAGTGCTTAGGTCATGAGGGTGGAGCCCTCATGAAGGGGATCAGTATTCTTTTCTTTTTTACGGTGTTTTTTATTTTATTTTATTTTATTTTATTTTATTTTATTTTATTTTATTTTATTTTATTTTTGACAGTATTAGAGATGTCCCCTACAGATGGCCAATAGACATATGAAAGAATGGTCAATGTCATTAATGAGAGATATGCAAATTAAAACTACAACGTGGTCTCACTTCATACCTGCGAGATTGGCTACTATCAATAAATCAACAAACAACAAGTACTGACAAAGATGTGAAGAAAAGGAAACCCTAGTGCATTGCTGGTGGGAATGCAGACTGGTGCAGCCACTGTGGAAAACAGTATGGAGTTTCCTTAAAAAATTAAAAATAGAAATGTCATTTGACCCAGAGATCCCACTTTTATGAATATAACCTAAGAAGCCTGAAACACCAACTAGAAAGAATATATGCACCCCTGTGTTCAGAGCAGCGTTATTTACAATAGCTAAGATCTGGAAACAGCCCAAGTGCCCATCAGTAGATGAGTGGATAAAGAAAGCTGTGGTACATTTACACAATTGGAATACTATGCAGCTGTAAAAAAGAAGGATCTCTTACCCTCTGCAACAGCATGAATGGACCTGGAGACCATTGTGCTAAGTGAAATAAGCCAGTCAGAGAAAGACAAGTATCACATGATCTCACTTGTATGTGGAATCTAATGAACAAAATAAACTGACAAACAAATTAAATCCAGAGACATGCATGGATGCCTGGAACAGACTGACAGTTCTCAGACAGGAGGGGCTTGGGGGGGACGGGAAGAGATTAACCAAAGAACTTACATGCATATATGCATAGCTCATGGACACAGATAACAGTGTGTTTGTATGGGAAACAAGGGATCTGTGCTCTTATAAAAGAGTTCCCACAGAGCTCCCTAGCCCCTTATGCCATGTGAGGATACAGTGAGAAGTCTGGGACCCTGAAGAGGGCTCTCACCAGGACCTGACCATGCTGGCACCCTGATCTCCGACTTCGAGCCTCCAGAACTGTGAGTAACACGTTTTTGTTGTTTATAAGCTACCCAGTATTTTGTTATTGCGGCCTGAACAGACTAAGACGCTGGACTTGAGAATTCCTTTCAGCTTAGCTCCTCCCCCCTTCGACTGGACTGTCTCAAGGGTTTCAGTATTTTAGTCCAAAGTGAGAATTTGCTGTGTTAGCTCATCCAGCCGCAGGTTGGCTGGGTAGGATGGAGTAATGGTGGCAGAGGTTAGATAATAGGAAGTAAGATGATGTCACTGCCTTTTTAACAGGAGACTGGCAGTCCCCCATCAGAAGGCATGCTGTTTGGGCACATTATAAGTGACATTCACTAGTATAGTTCTCCTCCTCAGTCTTCATGTCAGTGAAGGACTTCATGAGTATGCACATGCTGACTGGTGTATAAGTTGGTTTAGACAAAGTTATTCTGTGGTATAAAATGATTCCTAAAATCCAAGTGGTTTACAACAAACATTTTGCACATGTGACATGGCTAATGCTAATTGGCTTTGGTTCTGCTGTATTCCACGTGTCTTTTCACTGAGGACACAAATGATCTGGAACATGCTGCTCACCTCGCAGAAGGAAAAGAGAAAGATGCTGGAACCACAGGACGGCTCTTAAAGCTCATGTTTGGAAGTGGCCAATACTACCTCTGTTCACCTTCCACTGGCCAAAGCAATTCCATAGGAAGAGGTGGTACATTTTCTTTTTTAGAATATGTTTTTATTAATTTTAGAGAGAGAGGAAGGGAAAGGGAGAGAGAGAAACATTGATTGAGAGGGAAACAGTGATCAGGTTGCCTCCCGTATGCATATGAACCCCAGTTGGGGATAGAACCTGAAACCGAAACCTGGGTATGTGCCTGGACCAGAATTGAACCAGAGACCTTTGGATGATGCTCAACCAACCTAGCCATACTGGCCAGGGCAGAGGCAGTAAATATTTCGAGCAAATAAACATTCTCACATAATTCATCACAGCCAGTAGTATCAGTGGTCTCATTTTCCAGGTAAGAAAACTAAGGTCAAAGATTTGAACTCAGCTCTCCCCGGCTCCAAAGTTGGTCCTTTCTACCATGCAATCTTTTGGGGTAAACTTTTCTTTTCTATAGTGTGTAGGCACCTAGAATTGTAATTTATTCAGGGGCACAGCCACTTCTCATCAGCCCCAGAAGTTTCTCCACAAACATTTCTGGAGCAAAGCCATCTCTGAAAGTTTCCTGGAAGGACTTGAAGCTAGAAAGGGATCTGGCTTGGGGAATTGTCCTCATGAGAGCTGACTCTATTCCCTGTAGTAATTTTTTAAACCATTGAATTATTTGTATTACTTTATGGGTTTGTAGATCCTTTGAACAGCACTCAATCTATCACCCTTTGTTTTTGTTATCTTGTGTGTGTGGTGTGTCTGAGCTCCTCAAAGCGATTTTCTAGGTAATTTTAGAAACTTCCAGATTGCATTGGATATTTATATTCACAAAAATTATTAGTGGGGTGGAGAGAGCGCATCCCACCTACCTTTGCCAAAGAGCAACAATTTTAAGTTTAGAAATTTAGTTGCAGTGGGGGTGGGACAGAAACTACAGCCAACACAGAATGCTTCACTGTGTAAACATCTGTTGATTTCGGGGCAGTCTTACCCGTTTTAGAGTCTCTGGTTCGCAGCTGCTTGGCATTGTATAGAACGTGTAGGTGCTGATTTACCAGGCTTACGTGTGGTCATCAGGGTGGGGATTGGGGTGTGCAAGTAAGGTGGCTCGGCCATTCAGTTTAGGGGGGCATTTGCAGGCACCTGAGTGTTCTCGCCGGACTCCATTTAGCTCCACCGCGTGAAAATGCCCCAGGATAGCTTACCTGTGAGGATCACCCGCCCCTCCCTTCCCACTCCCCTACTGGACACGCCGGAGATCCTGACCTTCGGCCCTGTTATTTTGTTCCACCTGCGATGCTCATTTCTAGGTTACTGTGTACCTGTGTCTGGCCCAGGCTTAGGGCGGAAGAGGGGAGTGTGAGTCTGGCTTGGGCCCGGCAGGTCCATATCCGGGTGGACAGGGTGGGTGGGGCCGCCACTCCCTCCAGGTCCCGCGGTGGGTTGGGGGTGGGGGAGTGACGCGCAGAGATTCCCTTTCACCCCTCTGGATCCGGGAGGGGGCGACAGAAGGAGCGCAGGGGTGACAGGGCGTGCCTGCCCCGATGATCAGCGCCCCGGAGCGCCCTCAGCCCCGGGGCCTGAGCGACCCCTAGGACTCCAAGGAAGAGCAGGAGGAACCCGAGGAGGGCTCGCCAAACCGGCCACCCGCTCCGAACTTGCCCGGGAAACTAGTGCGAAGGGAGGGGCCGGGGCCGTGGCGGGAGGAGGGGCGGCCACAGCTGCATCCAGCCCCGTTGGCTTCCTTCCCAGCTCTCCTTCGCCGCCTCCTTCTCTTCCTCCTGTATGAGTCAGGCATTTCCCCGGGATTTGGAGGAGCCACGCGCGGCCCGGGCGCCCGGAGCTGTAGCAGCCGCCGCCGCCGTCACCGCGTTCGGAGCCCCAGCGCGGGGGCCGCCACCGCGGCGGGCGGGCACCCGGGTTCCGGGCGCGCACGGGCCATGGAGAGGGCGGCCCAGGGCGCGGACGGAGGCGGGGGCAGCAACAGCAGCAGCCGCAGCAGCAGCCGCGCCACCTCGGCGGGCTCCTCGCCCTCCTGCTCCCTGGCGGGCCGGGGGATCTCCGGCCGGTCGGCGGTAGCCGGGCTCGGCGGCGGGGGCAGCCGCAGCAGCCCGGGCTCGGTGGCTGCTAGCCCGTCCGGGGGAGACGGCCGCCGGAGGGAGCCGGCGCTCGAGGGCGTGCTCAGCAAGTACACCAACCTCCTCCAGGGCTGGCAGAACAGGTACCGTGCCCGCCGCCCGCGCCCCTCCCCGCGCGCCGCTTAGTGTGTGTGTGCGTGCAAGTGTGTGCGTGCGCGATCGTACCACCAGCGAGCGGGGTGCTGTCTCCACGCGGGTGCCCTCCCTGCTGTCGCTGCTCCTTTCCAGGTGGGGTGCTCAGGCTGGGCCCGCCGTGACCCCACCCCAGGGCTGTACCGCGGCAGCAGGGAGGGAGGCGGGAGCCTTGGTTTTCTTCTGCGCTGGCACCTGCAGGGACTGGAGCGGCGGGCGGAGCGCGCTGGTCCCGGGCCCTGCCCGCTAGCGGTTTCCTGCACCCCTGAAGAACGGCTGGGAAAAGAAGGCAGAGGGGACGTGCTGTATGCCCGAATGAAAGGCATTAGTACGTCTGGTCCGATCACAGCAATTCTCTCCATAACTTAGTTCATCTAAAACTTCAGTGTTTAAAAACACCACCACCACCAACAAAAACCTGCTACTTTATCCTCAGTGCCTTCCAGCGCGTGCTACCCTCTGCCCAGTTGGTGGCTTAGGACCTCCAATCTCTGCAACACAAGTTTAGTTTTTAAAAAAGTAAATCTCTTCCCTTTCGGAATGGGCAGTTTGCTATTTTAATTACATAATAATAATAATAATAGTAATAATAATAATAATAATCCCCATTAGGTTCATTTGGAAGTTCCCCGCTGACTGTCCTCGAAGTTGGGAAGCCTACTAGGGACACGTGTCCGGATGGGGATGAGCAGGGAAGGGGCTCCCAGCACACTTGAGGTGTTAAGATTTGAAAGGAGCAGGTGGGACACTGCTGTTTACATTGTTTTACAAAACAGGCCAGAGGCAAATACAAGTGGTTGATGAGATCTTTTGTCCCGCCTTTAACAGCCCTTGGATCTTAGGACTTGGGGCCCTTAGGGATGCTTGTGAAATTTGAACCACACCCTGGGAGCTCTAGTTCTTTGCCTGTTAGATTAGATTGCTTGGTCAACTCTCCCTGTCCATGGTGTGTAAATGTTAAGATTGCTTCCAGCTGAAATTTATCAGGCAGTCATTTACATGTAATGCAACTAGGAGGAAGATGACTCCTTAAGTTTGGAAACTGGGTTGTTTGCACATTGATACCATAGACAGAGAACTGATAGAGAACTTTCCCAGTCACCGGGTGTTCTTGGAGATCTGCTATGTTGTGGAAGCTGCACTTTAACTTTTAATTCTTTTTATTTCACAAAATAGCGCCAGTAACCGCTCTTGCCTCTCCCTTTCCCCTTTAATTCTTGAAAGTTAGTAAAGAATAGGTAGCGTGTGTAGGACCAGAGCATCACTTTTAATGCTTTTTTTTTTTTTTCAAGGAGCTTATGAGGCCAACAGAACTTTTACCCTGGATGGCAGTTATTTGACTTGGGGACTATATTTTACCTGCAATGTATATTAAAGGGTTTATTCTTTGGATTGGATTTAGGATGAATTGGAATGACTCATGCTTTTGTATAATTTAAAATCCACTGGGGTATTTAGGTAGAGGCAAGGCTGAGAAGCAGTAAAAATAATGATAATTAATAATAATAATAATAATAATTCCTACATGAATGCAAGCTATGTAGGTGAAATATACTGTGTACACTACTGAGGTCTCATCTTGAGTTTGTTTTATAGCTACCTGCTAATGTTCATTGTTCTAACCACAGTAGACTCACTGTTTTCTAGTCTACCACAGACTCCAAAGCCTTGTCTCTTTATAATGGTTAATGTCTTGCTGTTGGGGTTATGTTTCCCACATCCGAACAGTGGCCGAGGGTCCATTAGTGATATGGAGGAGATTAATAATGGCTCTGTGATTGCACACTTTGGCCTTCACAAGGGGGCTTATAAAGGCAGAGCCTTATCTGTGAAAAGGAAAAGAGAGAAGGATAGAGAGAAAACCTAGGAAACATTTTTCTGTTCATGAATTTGTTCAGAGACTATCTTATTGAGGATCTACTTTGTGCCAGGCACTGTTCTAGGAGCTGGAGCTACTCCAGTGAACAAAACACATGGGCATCTTCTCAGGAAGTGGTGGAGGAGACGCAGAATCAAAAGGTAGAAGGAGCCCACCCTTTCCTAGGGCAGGGGAATGCCTTGGTGCAAACATGTGGGTTTCCTGCACTTTTGGGCCTCATGGAATCTTCCTTTGATATTTCTTTTCAAATTGCCTGTAGTTCCTGACAATCTCTAGCCACAAAGTTCTTGGTGAGTCTTCCATGCTTTGATAATGCCCTTCACACCAATCACCCACCAGCAGTTTGTTCTCTGATGTCCTCTCTCATGTTCTCAAGTTGCTGTAAAGCTTACATTTTAACATTCAGTTTCATATTCTGCCTTAATTTACTTGTAGCACTCTCAGCCCCATCACCATGCCCTTAGGAAGAACTCAAAATAAATGACATAGAGAGAGGTCACAGGAGAGAAAACATTAGCACGTTTAGCACATGTGTCACCTTGGGCCAATTCCTTAATTGCTCTGAGCTTCCATTTTTCCCCCCCATCTGTTGAAATGATGTTACCTTTGCCCTTCTCATTAGTTCAATGTGAAGATGAAATGAAGATACTGTGTATCAGGGGCTGAGAATAGTGCATAGCAGCATCCGGAGACGTGGTAGCTATTATTGGATCTTCAATTTGCCCCTTTTTAAATGGACCTTTCTGGTCCATAGCATTCTTGGTTCATTTTTCTGAATGCTGTGATTACCCTGGGGCTCATTAATGTAATTACTGCAGAATTCTTTGGGGAGGAGACGATGACCTGTTTTGAAGGGTTACCTTTAAAACTTGGACCCGAACACTTACACCTCTATGGGAAGTAACTTATGCCCCCTTCCTCCATCACACTTAACTGTCACCTGCATGCTCAATATTTCACTCTTTTGTCCTTCCGCACTAGAAGGAAGCTTTCTGAGGACAGGATAATTTTGTCTGTCTTGTTCACTGCTCTATCCCCAATGTCTAGAACAGGATCTGACATATAATAAGGGCCCAGTAAATATTATTGAAGGAGTAAGAAAACGAATCAATGAGAGAGAAGAAATCAAACCAGGATTTAGTTCCGTTTTGCCAGTGTTAGCTATTGTTATAAATTTTGGTTCTCTACCTGCTCATAGCCTGTCCTTAATATGTTTATCATTTGCCCTGCTCTCTGCAACCATCAGTCTTTGTCTTCTGGGTCGGAAAGTCTACTTTTCTTGTGACATACTCTCCCTGACTTGGAGCCCGCCACAAACCACCCAGTGTGGGCTTTTAGTGACCAAATAGCCAGGGCTTACATCCAACTTGATCTGCATGAACCACATGCTTTGAGGGTGCAGTGTTTAGCCCAGCCGTGGGCAAACTACGGCCCGCGGGCCGGATCCAGCCCGTTTGAAATGAATAAAACTAAAAAAAAAAAAAGACCGTACCCTTTTATGTAATGATGTTTACTTTGAATATATATTAGTTCACACAAACACTCCGTCCATGCTTTTGTTCCGGCCCTCCGGTCCAGTTTAAGAACCTATTGTGGCCCTCGAGTCGAAAAGTTTGCCCACCCCTGGTTTAGCCCCTAGACATGATTTCCCATGGTTTTGCTACCACTTGACCCATTGGAGAGTCATCGGGGGCATACACTAACTTTAAAAACCCCACTGAATTAAAAGTAATGCTTTTTGAGTATTCCAATAATTTTTAGAGGCAATGGGTGATACTAGGGTTGCAAATCGCTGCTCTGGATTTTATGTTCTTGCCTATGTGTACTTCAGAAACATTCATATATTTTGCTTCCTAGGTTGCTGGATTGTTCTGAGCCTGCACAATCAAAATCCCCTTTAGGGACACATGACTTATTTTATTTTTAAATTTTTTCAATTACAGTTTACATTCAATATTATTTTGTATTAGTTTCAGGTTTGTAGCTATCTTCCTGACAATAATATTAAAGGGGTGTTGACTAGGCTTTAAAACAGCATATAAAAGGATTTATTCACTTCTGGTTGGATATATTTATTGAGCTCCTGCCTGTGTCAGCCATTTCCTGTGGGATCCACTCTCCTCCCCCGCCCCTTTTAAAAATATATGTGTATTTGAGGAGACTTATGCCAAATGGTTACCATGGCTTTACTTGGTTGGTGGGATTATGGGTGATTTATATTTTCTTTTCTTTTTTCTATTATTCCCCCCGACCCCCAAGGTGAATTTGCACCCATTTTGAAGTTTGAAAACATTTTTGAGAAAAAGAAAAGCTGCTCATACCTTTTCACATAACCTTTGAGTAACTGAATTTTTGAGGGTAAATTTGAAGTCTAACATACATTTGGAAAAGAACACAATTCCTCACTGTACGTAGTTCAGTGACTTTTCATAAGTGGAACACACCAAATCCAGAAGCAGCAGCCACCCGCCTCCCCACCCCTCATTTCCCCCACGGGGTTTCCACTATTCTGACTTCCCGTACTGTAGACTAGTCCGGCCTCTTTTTGAATTTCATCACGTACAGTACGTGATCCTTTGTATCTGGCTTCTTTCTCTTAATATTATGTGTGTGAGCCCCACCCGTGTTGCTGGGTAGAGTTGTGGTCTGTTTGTTTCTACTGCTGCTCCTTATTTCATTGTGTGAATATACTAAATGCATTTACATCGATTGTAGATTGAGTTTTTGGCCCTAGGAATAGTGCAGCCATGTGTTTTAGAGCACAGATGTATGCGTTTCTGTGGCTGTATGCTTAGAAGTGGGAATATTGGGTTAGAGTGTTTGCAGATGTCCAGCGTATTAGATTCTGCCCGAGAATTTCCCAAAGTGTTTGTATCTGTTAATAATCCCACCAGAAGTGTCTGAGAGTCCCGGTGCGCCACATCCGCATCCACTCTTGGCTTCGTTTTAAGCAATGGGGTGGGTGTGTGGTGGTTTCTCATTGTGGTTTTAATTTGCCTTTCTCGATGACCAATGAAGTTTAACATCTATTTGTGTGTTTCTTGGTCATTTAGATGTTATGTTCTGTGAGGT